CAAAAAGAGCATATGTGGCTAAGTCCGTGCTGATGTAGTATGAAAGTAAATTTCATCCTTCAATCCAAATTACAAGATGGCCTCAATTAAGAGTTGCTTGTAATTGGCGGTATGAAATGAAGGAAGCAAATAAAAATACAAAAAAAAAAAAAAAAAAAAACAACTACAAAACAAATGAAATAAATAAAATTAAGCAATCACAAAATTCAAACTTGGCCACAGTCTGTTCATTAAATTTTTAGTTAGTAAAAAGTAAAAAATAAAATTATAAACTCTAGTTTTAGAAATTAAATTTTCTTACCTTTCTAATGGTATAAGAAACATGTAAATCTGAATTACTATGAATATGTTATGAAAGTTTAAAAATGACAAATAAATAAATAAAAAGTTATGTGAAAATGTTTTACCTCAAGGATAACTTGTCATAGATCAAGGATTTAAGCCTCACCAAAGCACACATATAGTGTATATGATTCTTTAAGAGAGGCTACGATGCCTTAGTCTTATCCTCCTAATTACCTTCAAGGTGCTACAACCTATATGAGACTTCTGCACTTCCCTTTTTACAAGGACTATACTAGTTGTTAGTCCTCCTATTTTCTACTAGTAGATCCAACATTTTTGCATTTATGACTTCACCATGGTGTTCAAAAACATCCAATTGGCCTAAGAACCTTGGATGGCCTTCAAATCTTGCTCCATTTCTTCATAATGGCTCCCAAGGCAGTAAAACTCATTTTTACTAAGGTCTTAAAAATTGCTCTAAAATTTCTAAGTAAATTCTAAATAAATTCTAAAAATTTCTATAATGGTTTTATAATAATAATATCAATTTAAGGCTATAATTTTATATCTTGATGTTTTTTTATAATAATAAAATTAATTTAAATCCACTATAAATCCTACTTTTTATATAAATAATTAAAAAGACATGAGGTTCTTTCTCATGCTTCTTTTAACTACTAACTAATATTTATAGTTTTTTTACAAGTAATACATATAGATAGAATGTGCATGTAAATATTTATTTTAATAAATAACCCTCAATACTCAATAATAAATAAAAAATACTAAGACTTTGTTTCTACAACTAACATTCCAATTTTCTATTTGTCTAAGAATTTCTACACTACTTACTATATATTCTGATTTTAAGCACTCTAAATACATCTTTTTGTCCTAAAATAACTACTGAGTTAATTTGATGACTCACACGTAATCAAGAAGTGAGCAAAAGCTGCGAGGCAGGAGCAGAGATTCAAGGACAGGAAGGGTGTATGGAGTGGACGAGCAATAACAATCACCAATAAGCCTTATTAGAGTTATAGCCCACTCTGGCTTGAGTTTGCATTCTATTTGTTCGCTTGGGCCATGACCTCGATGACAAATGTCAACGAGCTTATGAAAGAAGGATTCCAAAATCTTCAAAGATTAAGGGAAGCGCCTTGGTTTTTGTGAGTCACTAAATTGACTTGCTTGGATATTTAACATAAAAAATGCACTTATTGTACTGAAAAACATAGATTTTTTGAATTAGTAGTAGAAGGTTTAAGAAAAATATAGAAATAGATGCTAATAGCGGATATGCAACCTAAGATAGAATTTATTGAGACAAATTTCTAAAAGCAATAGCTTTCCATAAGTTAGTTAATATTAGAGGATGGCCCAATGAAAGTAGCTTCATTGTGAAAAGGAAAAAAGAAAAATCTATTTTATTAATAGTTCCTAAAACATAAATATACATGTTATATATATATATATATATAATGAAATTAAATTAAATTAAAAAGAAGCAAAAGATGAATAGAGAAAAGAAGAAGAAAGAAGAAATGAAGAAAAGAAGAAGGATAGAAGAAAAAAGGAAAAAAGGAAAGGAGAAGATGAAAAGAGGTGGTGACAAAGGAGAGAGGCTGCCCTTGATTTTTGACAGTCTCTTTGCCGATAGGGGTCCGGGCTGCCCCGGACTCTCTCTCTTCGTTTTTTCATCTCGACAAGTTTTCACAGGCTGCGGGCGCTCCGGAAATTTTTCCCGTCTCCTTCACGTTGTGGGTGTGCTGCGGTGCAGCAAACCCCCTCTAGTTTTTCTTGGAATGCATTTTGTCCTGGGTTTCCAAGTTCAGGGTGGTTGCAGAAGTTCTCTCCCCTCTTTTGGTGTAGGTTGCAGCGGCTGAGCGAGCTGGAACAAGATCCAGATTTGGTGGTGTGCGGCCAACTGTGAAGACTACACTCAAGTTGTAGATACCGTCAACCACGGTGAATTACCGTGAAAGTGCTTGCGGTCGGAGCATTGGAAAAAAATTAAAATAAATAAATAAGACAAAATAAAAGTTTTCCTAGACGTGGGTGCTAAGCTGCAAAGGGAGCTTGGTTCTTTTGTTTTCAACGGCTAAAAGCAAGAGCTCCGAAAAATTCCTTCGTTCTACTGTGGTGCAGAGCTGTATTGGATCGAGTTTTAAGGGATTAAAGTTTTGTTTTGTTGCTGGCGGCTCGATGAGCTGAGTTGTGGGCTTGCTATGGTACGGTGGAAAAGCACCATCCTTGTTACAGATCTTGACAACACCGGGTGGTCTCATTTTAATTCTCTCGTCCTCTTTGTTCTCGCCTTGTTTTTTGTTGCTAAAAACTCCGTGATCTTCGGCTTGGTGCGGCTGGAGTTGTCGTGCCCATTTTTCTCTCTCGAGCGCTGTGGTTCACGATTGGTTGCTGAAGTCGCAGTCTGCTATTGGCTGAGGAGTTTTAGTCTTTTCCTTGATAGCAACGGCGGCATTATTTTTTCTAGTTTTTTTTGTTTTTTTTTTTGTTTTTTTTTTTTGTTTTTTTGTTTTTTTGCGTTGACTGCGACGATTGATGGTGGTGATTGGAGGACTAAGTGCGCGACGTTGTAGTGCAGTGTCAACAAGCTGCTGTCAAATCCTATCAATATTAGCATCGTCGTCGGCCGACGTTTTCTTTCTCATTCTTTGATCGTGGTGTGGTTGTGCTTCCGAATCAAATCCACTTTAGCGCCGAATCCTTGACTCTCTTGTGAGTCCATCTGCTAGGCGTTTAGGTGGTGGAAATGCGTGTTTTTTCTTCTATTGACTCGGTAGCAAAAGCATAGGCGGTTGTCATTAGAGCATGACAGTTGCTGTTAGAGCATAGTATTACGAAGTTGGCGGTGGTTGTGTTGGTGCTCGATATTGCATGGTTGTTGCTGGATTTACATATAGGCTACAATCTGGTCATCAACGACATCGTCTGTTCTCTACTTGCTGACAAGGGAAGGATTGCAACAAGGCCATTATACAATTCTTTCTTGTCTTGGAGTTGTTTGTACGGTGTTGCTTGGGTTCGAAGAGGAGATTAGCAGTCCTTGTCCTTATCTTCCCCTTTGATGTCCCTGTGATCGGTGGTCAGAAGGGCTGCAGCAACTGGAACGGAGGTTGGTAATGAAGAACTCTCATGAGCCACCTACGTCGACATTGGAGTGGACAGCTTGATGCTAGGTCGTGTTTTTTTCATACAATATTAGATACCACTCTGTCGCGGAAAGCATCCATCGTTTTAACAAAACATAACCAAGGTTCAAGGAGTGGACAGCCTGAGTATCGAGTAATTAGCCCCAAATTGAATAGTATTACGAGTGATTGCTTGTGCAATAAATAGAGTGAATTGTGATTTAGGATAGTTTTATTTGTAGTTGCATTACGGTTGATTCATCTTCTGCATCGCCGTGTCTGGTCATTCGTACATCAAATCTACTTTCTAGCATACTGTCACAGTCTTTAACGAGTGGGCCTCTGGCCTCTCTATACGGAGCATGATCAAAGATTTTGATTATCTGAGTAGGATTTGCCAAGTGGTATTCAACTAGTTAGGAGATCAAGCAGAGAGGACTCAACTGATGGGAGCTTCTTAGAGATGCGTAACGGGGGTCGAATAACTGTGGTTTTAACCACAATGCAGCTTCCTACCAACATCTAGAATTCTGCACAGAACGTGAGAGGACAACAATTTCAGCATGGGTGATCTTAATCAAGGACAGTATATGAATCCTTGTGATCATTGAAATTTATCCACAAAAATTGTTATACTCTTTTCGGAAAGTTGCCCGAAGGATTTTGTGGCCTTTCACTAAACTCCAGAGTGAAGAAACCCAGTTTGTATTTTGGCCTTTCCGTGACTTGCATGAAGACGGAGAATTGAGCACCACCGAAGGTTCAGAGACACCAAAGGGAGTCGAGGGTGAGTTTTCTTTTGGAACAGAGCAGAAGAAGTAGCAGCCAAAGCGGATGAAGCGCCTTGGAAGGCAAGCACCTTTCCGTCGTTACTAGCAAAATATCAGAAGGTGAATTTAAGTTTTAGGAAAATTTGGGTTAAAAAAGCACTCAATTAGGGTTTGATATGAAGTGTTGGATGTTGGATAATAAATTGAATTAAAGATGAAATTTTAAGATAGATGATAAGTTATTCAAGGACGATAAATTATACTTGGATGACCTATTGTTAATTGATGAAAATTAATAACAAATAAAATAAATAAATAAATTTGCTAACGAGAGAAGGAAGCAATGTGTGAGGTTGTCGCACAGCAAGGTGTAGTTATTAATGGCAGGCGATGAGTTAGGGCTGGAGAGGAAAAGGAGAATTGTGGGTGGTCATAGGGATTGATTTTTTTATCATGTGACAAGAGACTCTGCGTGCGCTGCAGCGTTGAACACATAGAGGGAGCTAGAAGTTGGCTTCGTTGTGCTTGAAGATGGGAGATTGATATTGTTGTTGCAATCAGCCTGCGGTATGGCGGTGCATTGTGGGACTAACTTGACCACATCATAGGCAAAAGAATCAAGATCCCTCAAAAAATCCCTCAAAAAGGTTGCTCATTTTTTAGAGATACACATATAACTTTGATCCTATAAATCCTAAATCCTAAACCCTAAACTTGACTACTTCATTTTAAAGTATGATGCAAATTGGCGTTACCATGTCCAATCCATTGCATAGGGTTAAAACATAGATAATATAATTTTAAGTCATATATACTTATAATATATTCAAAAAGAAGTATCAATATGATATTTTGTAAAAATTCTTCAAGTTCCCTCTTCGATTTGAATTCCTACACAACAACAATTCACAACAATACCAAAAAATTATACTAGAACAAAAAAAATTTGAAAACATATCACAAATAAATAATTGCCTCCCAAGCAATCCTAAGACTTATAAGATCTCACTTTCGGCAAATGCACCAAAATGTGAGCTAAAATAAACCTTTATTAAATGGACGTTTATTTTTTATTTTATTTTAGTTAAAAATTCATCTTTAAATAAGTTTTCATCCAAATATAAGTTTTCATTCAAGTATAGAAATTCATCCAAATATATTTTCATCCAAGTTAAAACAATTTATTCCGCTTTGATTGTTCATCCAACTAACCTAATCCAACTCTAACCCTATTCATCCGAATCTACCTTATCAGCTAGTGACATATCCGCTGAAAATCTCACCTAGTCAAGAGGTTCTGCAGTTTGTTGCGATTTGAACATGGGTCCAGTTCCACTGCCGAGGTGACTCGATTTTGCACCTCTGTAATCCATGAGCTCAGCACAATCCAGAGTTCCTCGCAATATTCATTCGTCTTGTAACCCCTCAGTAAGTGGCCGGTTTTTTGTTGGTGGTTGTCTCGGTAGTTTTGCGATCAACCTCTCAGAATGGCGATGCCAATGAGCCTCGAAAGGTTAGGGTGGAATAGGCCATTGAGACCGTCCACTGTATTCGGATCACTCTTCCCTCCAAAACGTGAAAAAAACCTCTAGAAGGTGTGCGCCGACTTAATCAAAGGTGCTGAGGACAGGAGGCTTAAGGTGAAGGGACCAGTGCGTATGCCTACCAAGGTGCTCACGAGCACCGTCTACAGAACCCGAATGCCAACCTCACCAAGATCAGCACAAAAAACAAACTAAGAATTCAACGGATTCACCACCTAATTGTTCTCCGCACACCGTGCCAGAACAAAATTAAGGATTCAGTAACTTAGTAACAAGAGAACCGCATCAACAGGTTTGACTATTCTGCACTAGCGCGAGGAAGCTTCGATCCATAGGAACAAAAGGACCAAGAAAAGCCATAATCCGTTGTATACAGCACACTTACGTTGATGAAACGCAAGGAAACTAATCCCTTGCTCGGAACCGAAGTCCGCCGCACCCTAACGCCAATGCTCTCTTGCCGAACAACACCAACTTTGACGCCGTCCACTGATCAAAAAAAATTCTGATTGCAACACCTCGACGGGAGAAAATGACAAACAATGCAGCTATACTTACATGTACTAAAAATAGTAGAGACACTCCCTGGCAGTCAGAGCCTTCTAGACACATTCCAACATCGCAGTACACCCCGCAATCTGCGGAGCTCAAAAAAACTAAAGGAACAAAAAACAAAAAAATGAACAGAGATGCTCGTCGAAGTGGCTAGTGCAGCTCCAGTCGAGGAAACAGCAACACTGATGAGGCTCCTCAGCGATGGCGCATCGCAACTAAGGCAAAGGAAGTGCAACTGAGGACATCGCTATCAGCAATCACCCACGTAATACACCTTTCGTATAAGAAGGCGCACGTGTATTCAACAATACAACCGCTGCACGACCATCAGTGCCGCTTCCACAGAAGAAGAATTCGCATGAATCGGAAGGAATTTTGTTGATCTTCTACCGTAGCACCGCTGCCCTTCTGCGCTAATGTTCCTTTTTGAAAAAACCAGATCAGCAACAACCGGCAACGTCTTCACTCTCGCCGTGCCAACCATAGTCCCACCTTGATCGCCTTTTTATTTCTTTTTTTATATTTTCTTTTCTTTTCTTTTCTTTTCTTTTTTTTATCTTCTCTTTTCTTCTTCTTCTCCTTTTCTTCTCATTTCTTCTTTCCTTCTCTATTATTCTTTCTACTCTTTTGACTTTTTTATTTTATTTTCATTTTACTTAAATTTTATTATTATTATTATTTTTAATCACACAAACACACCCACACACACACACACATATATATATATATATATATATATATATATATAGATAATGTGATCCATCATCTAACACCTTAGTCTCTATCCTCATAGCTGTAATATAGGTTTGTCTAAGAATCACTGGATATGAAGTAGTATCTTCAATAAAGAAATTTAGTTCAACAATTATATTTCTAATTTTTACCTTTATATTAGAACAAGTACTATAGAAGTCCCTTAGTGAAGTATTTGTTGTCCAAATCATCCAACCATGTTCAACGTCAATAGGCCATCTTCCGTATTTGTAAATTTTTTTGACATAATGTTAATTTCAAATCTATGGTCAATGAGAGTAATTACTAGATCTATCAAGTCTCTTATCTTTTCCAAGGTCTCTATGGTGGCTCTCGTTCAATGACGTCTAATCTAATGACTATGGCCTTTTTCATCAATCTTATCTTCATTCAAAGAAAATTGAACCTTTTGACTTATGCAAAATTCAACCAATTTTACTTCTTCTTCTTATATCAATGTTGTATCCAAAGCATTAGACAACACAAACTTTCCTATCAATTGTCTTCTTTATTTAATAGTATTAATAATGACATCATGATTTTTTTTTTTTGCAATGTCTAAATTTTTTTGTAAAATAAATTCAATTTTGGCATTCAACACCATTTATTCTAGCATCTCTTTCAAATTTGTAGCTACCTCAATATCTAATTGTAATTTGTAAGCAACAAACTTATTATTATTATTATTATTATTATTATTATTTTTTTGTTTTTTTACTTTTACAAGCTTCTATTCTTTCTTTCTATTTCTTCTTTGGTAGTGGTGTATTTCCAAGGTGTGATGTAGATAGTCCAATTTTGGATGGTCTACTTTCCTATGGTATAGATATTTCCTTATTTTGTTTTACTTTTTCATCCCTTTGAAATCTTCTTTTGTTATTTGGCTCCTCAAGTTTTTCTTTTGTTACATTTATATCTCTTTTTACATCCTCCAAAGCTTTATGTAAGAATTTTGTTAGATAAGTACATACAAACATGACATCAATAGAATCATCCTATTATATAACATTCTTGATGACTATAGCTATCTTGAGCAATTCTTTCCTTGTTGTTTTTTTTTATCCATATTGGTTATAGCATGGTTCCATAAGTTTTCCATCTCTACATGCTTGTCAAAAATATCCTTCTTCTCTTTTGCTACTACAATGCCATAGGTGATAGCTTCCCTTGATGCCATAATTTATTGAGACAAATGATTATCTAAAATCTTTTTCATTTTTCTTTTCCCAAAATTAATTTTAAAGAATTCACTTATATCTTACAAGTCAATTTTTCCATCATTCTATAAAATTATTCTTTGTCACAAAGTATGAGCAAAATCTCAACACTCTTTGCAAAGATGCTCAATACTATTGTACTAAATATATCTTTGTATATATTCTAGCTTTAATACAGATTTACTCTCAAATGTTCATTTTTTTTTTTTTTTTTTTTTTTTTTTTTTTTTTAGTTTTGCCAATTTGATTTGTAAGTCTTTCATTCCTTTTACCAACTCCTCAATTGCATCTTTTTGTGGTGGAACTATAGACATAGGAATTGGAACAGTAGATGTTTGTATAGCAGGTTCTAGTAATTGCTTATGAAATGTTGTGATTGATGGAGGCATAATTTCTTGCTTTAGCACCACCTTACTTCTCTCGTATTTTCTTTTAGCAAGTATACCTACTTCTTTAGAGACCTTCTTCTAGTCAATAGTAAGTTCATTGTCTTCTATATTATCTTCCAATAATAACTCCAGCTCCTTTTATAATTCATTGTTAGTTGATTGGAGAAATAACTCAACCTTATTATTTTTCAAGTGTAAGCTATTCCACTTGAGACAATTGAAGAAATTGTTTTTCAAACCCTCAAAATAACTTTGTTGCAACCAATCCTTTATTAGATTTTCTAATCCATTTTATAAATGATTTTTTAGTTATTCTTTCAACATCCTCCAAAGAACATTCATCTTTTATCTGAAGGATAAAATCTTCCCATTTCTCTCCATAGGTTTGAATAATCTTTTTTATATGTTCTTGTAGCTCTGGTACAATTGCAAGCTTAAATATTAGGATCATTTTCTCAAAATCATTATGTCATTATATTATGACATTGTGATGGAATTAACTCCATCATGATATAATAAACAACCTTGTAAGTAGTGCAAATAGTATTATAAAAACTGCCATTATTTCAAATATAGCCTTTGAAACAATTATGACTGCAAGGTTGTAGAAACATCACTCACCAAGACTACCTTTTTTTTAGGATATTAGAAACTTTTTTCATTTTTTCAACAAAATAAATATGTTATAATTTTAAAGATGAGTGTAACTTCTAAAACAACACCAATAATTCATCCAATTAATGCATCACTATTTGACTAATTTGATTTGGAGTTATTGATTTGATTGCTTCTAGTTAGCAAAAGATTCTTAGGATAGTATCTATCAATATGACACATAGTTTTTATACATGAGATTATGTCAAATTTTAGAGCCAATAAATATAAAATAATAAAAACTTATAGATGAAATTCAAAAAGTTGGATAGAAACCTATATGAGCTTTAGTGTGTTAGAAAAAAAAAAAAAAAAAAAAAAAAAAAGAAGTTAAAATGGTCCATTAAAGTTGTTATTTTGTAAAAACATGTCCATAAGGTTTTTGATTTTGAGAATTCTTTACTAATCGGCAATACAATTTGGTCTCAACAAAAGTTGTGAAAGGTGTTGTATGGACTAAGTGTGGTTTAATTTTTAACTTTAAGTTTAATTCAAACTATCCTTATCCATTACAAGACTAAGGATAGTGCTCACATCTTTGTTTAGAATAGATGCTAGGAGTCAATACTTGATCTTTCATAGCATTGGTTTTAACTTAGGTAATGATAAATATATTTTGATCATTTTATGCATCATAAAGGGATTTTTGGAGGTAAAACTTTATGCAGGTATTATAAATGAGTAAATAAAGTCATGAAAAAATTTTGATACAAAAATGAGTTTAGAAAAAAAATCATGGATTTTTGAAGTTTTTGATGGATTGATTTTTCAATAGATAGATAGTTATTGTTATAGTTTGGTATAATAAGGGCTATTTAGGATTTCCTTAGATACCATAAAAAAATCTATATAAAAAATTATAAAAAATTATAAAATTCTACTTGAATTGTATGATTTTAATATTCTTGTATTTTATTTGTTTTTACTATTAGAGCCATAACAGTTATTGGTGATAAGCCAATAAGTAATAAATAAATTTTTTATAGCCAGAAATCTAATTTATTTCCAAATTAAAGATTACATCACATGAAAATAAATATAAGAAAATTAGATGCAAATGAAGTACAAAAATTACTTGGTATGATGGATATTAAACTTCCATTAATAATTGCATATAATTCAAAAGGAAATTATAAAATTTAACATGGATATTTTTAATTATTAAAAAATTGATTAAAGCATGCAAAGACAAGATAGGAAATTGTACTAAATTATTATCATTTGCATAGTTGGGGCATTGCACAACTCATAATATAGTTACAAAATTCATATTGACAGGGTTAAAATATGGATAAAAATCAATAATGCCATTAAAGGAGGTTGTATTAACATAAGGTGTGTTGCTTTAGAAAGATGGTCTATCAAGAAAAGTATAAATTAAAATAAACCTCCACTAGTTGAAAATCTATCATGATTAACAACAATTTTATTAACTTATGGAATAATTAAATAAATTTTTCTTTTTCTTCTTATGTAAGAACCTCAATTTTTAATTAGTAATCCTTTAGCAACTCTTCTTGTGAGAAAGGGGCTCCTTGTGAGTCACAATTGTTCTTTCAATGATAAAGGTTGAGACCTAGGCATTCTATTTTCTTTGAATCTCAGTCAATTAAATTTACCACCTTTGTTAATTTGCCTTGCATTTTAGATTGTTGAATATCTTCTAAAAAATCAATGGGATTATTTTTTCCATAGATTGTATAGAGATTTTGATTCTAGTCTTTCAAAAAGTAAAGATGATGTGGAGCTTTTATATTCTCTAATTAACTATGGCTTTTGAATCCCTCAACCATGGCCTACCTAGCAATAAGAGAAAAGAATCTTTTTATGTATGCATTCAAATGACATGGTGCATTAACATATATTCTTCTTTTCTAATCCAAGTCTTAAATTTTTTTTATTTAGTCACTACAATAGATGAGCTTTGATTTGCCATCTTGATAACAAAAGGAGATGAGTTAGTAACATTCAATCTTAGTTTTTCTATAGTTTGGAAGGACATAATGTTCAAACCACTTCCACCATCTATGATGGTATAGAAAATTATTTTGTCTACAATAGAAACCTCAATTTTTATTAATTTCACATCACTTTATTTAATTTAAGCATCTATATTTGCCACCACCCTAATCTTAGGTCTTTATTGATTTTTCATTGAAATATAGATTTGTAGTACCTTCTTAACCATTAGAGAAATTTTTGATAATTGGACAAATATAATATTAGCCTTTAATTTACTAAGATCATTCCATACTCTTGTATATTGGATTCTTCTACATCCTTGTGTTGTTGAGGGATTTCAATCTTAGAAATTTTGGAACCTTTCCAACTATGGTTGTCTAGATTAAGACTTAACTTGAATTCAATCCTAAGATTTTGGAATCGTAATTCTTC